GAAGGGTTCTCCTATAGCAGTCGACTTATCAACCTCAATCCTTAAACTCTCCGAGAGCAAGAAGCTCTACGAGATCTACAAGAAATGGTTCTGCAGGCCAGACTGTCCGTCAGAGAGGGCAAGAACACCAGAGCCCGACGAGCTCCAACTAAGCAGCTTCTGGGGACTCTATCTTTTATGTGGCGCCATTACTGTCATCGCCCTGTTGATCTTCTTGCTCAAAACGGTTCGCCAGTACATCCGGTTTAAAAGCAAGCAGAGGGACCCTTCTTCTTCTCCATCAGACACTGGCTTCTCTAAGGTTGTCTACAATTTCTTTGACTTCATTGATGAGAAGGAAGAAGCCATCAAAAACTTCTTTTCCCAGCAAGATAGTTCTTAGTTGTCCCAACTTATTAGCAGATAACAATGTAGCTAGTATGAAGTTGTTGCATCAGAATTATCAGTTTCAGTGTGTACATACACAAGTAGTTATATACTTATATGTTGTCCGCACGGGTAGGTCAGTTGGTTCCTAGTGACAGATTGTGGCAATGAAGCGGAATCGAGCCCTAGCAGTTTCATCGGTTCTCCCACCAAATCGGCCGTTAAGTACCCGTGATTTACCCGGCTTTTGGGTTGAGGAATTTCACATTTTGTGGGTAAATAGCTATATGTTTTCTGCATGTAATTCAGATATAGTATCATGTACATATAGTGATATAGGTTGCCTCCAACTTTTAAAATGCAGAATATTCACCATATATAGAATTTTTGAGTTGATTTACTTCCTTTTTTTTTTTTTTCATTTTTTATTTACCATTTCAATAATTTTTAAACACCAAATTTACAAATATAATTGCAAAATAAAATTATAGGTTTCAAATGCAGAAATCATGCATTTATTATTGGATAATATCAATATGTTCTTTCAAATGTTGCAAAAATATGAAGACAACCAAAAAATAAATCTAAGTTTCCTCCATGTATTATGTTGAACAGAGACTGGTAAAGGGTCAAATTCATCAATTGGTGATTAGAATGATTGTTAGACGAAAGCTGGTGAAGTGTCGTCAAGTCCAACACATGGTCTCTCGAAAATGTGATGACGACAGTCTATAATAAAATAAAATTAAACCTTCACTACTAGTTATAACTTTTGACGTAGTGGTAAACGTGTGATCTAACAAGAAGTGGTATTAGAGTTAGTCGCTATGTGCCTAACTCATCTTCACTTGATTTGTTACAGTTGTCATATATTATGGATATACGTTTCACTTTGCTTTTTTGAAAAAAAAAAATTATCAAATTCTTGAAATACCCTCACTTTCATCTTCTCAAATTGTAGGATCCCTTCTACCATTTTTTGAACTTTTTATTTTAACTTGCATATTTTTTTATTTAAATTTTAATGTGTTTGTTTATGAAAAATAGTGAAAAAATAATTTTATTAAATGTTCATTAATTGTTATTCTTTGATTTATGAGAAAGTCCGAAGTCATTAATTGTTATTCTTATTATTATAAAGAAATTTTTATTTATATGTAATTATTATCTAATTAATAAATTATTGTTATAAAATATATTCATATTCTCAAAAGTTATTTTACTCGTTATCTGTTAAAATTAATAATTAATTTGACAAAATATTTTTCTACAAATAATTAATACACTATCGATCAAACCAATTAACATAATTAGTATCCGTATGGACAACTCAGTTGGTCACATGGGTGAAGTTAGTCTCACCAGCGGTAGTGAGGGAGACTCTTTGTGCCCAGTAAGCAAATGTTTAGCCTCTATGTTTAGCTGAATTACTGATTTACATCCTTTCAAAGCTCTGTCGAGTCGAGGCGTGGGGCCCTTGGAGTTGGAGATCCAACTTTTGGGAACAATTAACATAATTAGTTGATAACTAACTGCTCACGTCTAACAACTAATTATCACACAAGACCATCAACTCTTTATACTATTTAACTACCATTCAATAAGAAATCTACGTACCATTCAAGCCCCGGGCATTGGTCTAACGATAAGATGGGTTGGCCATGAGCCCATGAACTTTAATTTTGTTTCGTCGTATATAGTATGATGGAATACAAACCTAGCTTGTCTCATATATATATAGGTACATTACTTTCGTTTTCATATTAATGTTTGTTTCGTCGTATAGTATGAAGGGACGACTGTGAATCTGAGATGTCATATACTGTTAATTTATGATACGCCAAAGACTTGTTAAACGTGTTATAAGAATTAAATTAATACGACAAAAAGTAAAATAAAATTTTTTCTCATATTTCGGGCCTGTTGTTTGTTTGTGGGAATTGTGGCCATGGTGAGAAGTGGTTTGTTTGACCAAGGAATGTGAATATATTATGTGTGTATATATATATGCTTGCAAGACTTTGCTACTAATATTTTAGCGCATGAAAGTGTTTATATCATATGACATCCTAACAGCCTCTCCCTACATGAGAACTAATGAGTATTTACATATATTTATCTTTGCAACATTTTTGATATCTATAAGTGCACATAAGACTTACGACTCTAAAAGTACATCTTAGCTAGCAAACTGTAAGTGTATTCGATAATTGTAAAGTGCACTCAATAAATTACATCTGTAAATATAAAAAAAAAAATGGACATTATTAATTTTGAAATGTGTCACAAAGTTTGAGATAATTACTAAAATATCATCACATTTTCATTCTTTTAGAGGTATTGATTTTTTCACAACCTAAGTTGTCTACGCTGATTGACTCAAACCTATAAGGGCTCGCATGAAAAGTCAAACTTGGAATGTTGTAATTACCAAGTCAACTGTTTAACTATCTCGATTGGAGTTACCTTTAAAATGAGATAGGTTTTATTCCATAAATATTGTCCCCTTATTCATCTTTAATTTGATTAATATTATTCTTCTTATCAACATAATTGATATAAAATTATATATATAGTAAACTTTAGACTCTTATGTTATTTAAAAATAAACTCAAGATTACAATATAATAATGCAGAAATATTATATTTGTGGTTGTATGACATAGTGCCATTCTTACGTCACTCAAGATATTTTTGAAAGAATATAATTTATTACTCCGTATTAAACTATTAATTGATTTATTATTCATGTATGATGAAGAGGAAAAAGAGATGCCATTTTATCTGCACAAATTAATATTGATGTACGTCGAAATAATAAAGAGTTACTGCGTGATTAGTGGGCCTAAAATGCCTTAGAATTATTGGTAATGAGTTCAGAATAACGTTAATGGGGATCATATTCTGTCTTTATATGCATATATAGTGCTGTGAATTTGGTTCTGTTTTTAGTGGCCAGTTGCATCTGCCATCTGCAATGAGACCTATGGGTGCATCAGTTTCTGCCTGCTGGAGCCTACTGAGGACTTTGAGAGTTTGGATTTATGCTCTCATCCTCTCTCTATATATGCATCTTTCTTCTATTTATAGCCTCTCTTTTTTTTGAAAATTCTATTTATAGCTAATGTCACGGGACATCATGTTATGATCCTAATCCACAAAGAATTACAATGAGATAAATTAAATTTAGTTGTCTAACTAAGTTGATTGGTTTTAAGCACAAGGTTTCAAGTTCCACTCTTAGTAGGAACAATCTATTGGATTTTTTTAGTTTGAGTCGATCAATTATGGACAACCTAGACACTTTGGTTAGTTTATCTCCTTAGGTTTTTTGTTGGCTGCCGTCACAAGGCAAGTTTATCCTGATTATGGGTTTTCTTATCATCCCAAGAAAACCAATGAACAAATGTGATAGAGAGTCAAACTTGTAATATTGTGGTTATTAAGCTAATTATCTTATCAACTTGGCTAGAATAGAAGTGTAGAACTTATTATCTCATAAAATAATTGTTTTTTTCTAAAAATTTAATAAAAATAATTATTTTTTATCTAAAAAAAAATCAATAAAAAAGAAAAGAAAACAAAGTACCCAATAGCTAGCGGTATATATTCGAGTCCAAGATAAATTGATGGTGCCGTGGAGGTTGAAAATTATCTTGAAAATAAATTATTCTATGATTACGTATTTATATTAAATTTTCCTTTATTAATTCACGTGGAAAATAATTAATTGATTATTCTTTTTGAATGCTATTAATTGATTATTTAAGTACGTATGGTTGATGCAGACTTTGAGAACAATGGGGACACTTTGAAGATGGCGATTCCTGATTCGAAAATGACATAATTGGCCTCTTGAAGATATTTCTTTATTTACCTGTTCAAGTCCCCACACTTTCTCTTATTTCTTTTTTCTTACTATCCGATAATATGCATCAATCTCGTTACTGTATAATAGCCTATCTTAAAAAAATTTTGAATGACGGACTTAATTGAAAAAGTATTGTCAAGAATTTAAACTTGTAATAATATTTAAGTATAAGAATTATGCCCCGCTCGCTAGACTTTCTTTTGAAGCAAATTTAAGATTATTGTATCATTTGAATTACAAGTTGAAAGTGTCTTATAAGTGAATCTTGCTTTGTGACTTTAAATTAAGAAAATTAATAAATAACTCCAATTAAAAAGTGAACTTAAAAGTGTTCGACTAACTTGATTAAGGTTGTTCCAACATTATTGTATTGAATACGGTATGTCAGACACGTGGTCGTAGTCAGAAAAGTTTATCCTCTTCATTGACAGTTTGACACCATCTGATGAAAGGGATACCTTGGTCCAGTTGAAGACGTGGCACAATGGTAGCCCTTGATATTGTCAGCTTGACAGGTTAAACTCATTCTTTATTATTACTTGTTGGAATAAATGTGCATCAAATAATGCCACCTCACTTTTGGTGAACAAATGGGTAACCCATAAATTTTAATAAGAAAGAAAATTTAAATAATATAAATTATAATTTTTGTATCAATCACAGTAAAAAAAGAAAGTGAGAATACATGAGTACGGAAACGTATAATTACTGCTAAAGAGCATGGCTGTAGAATTGTAAACAAGAATCATTCTTTACTGAGCTTTCAAGACTGCCCTAACATGGCCATTCATTGAGCCTTTTATAGAGAAAAAAGGAGGTGAACCCCTCTCCACTTTCTTGGTCTATAAATACCTATAAATAGGAAAATATTAACAAAAAAAAAAATTATGCCCTTTGTCTGTCCACACACAAGTATATATTCTGGGGAGAATCCTCTGAGTAAGAGGTTGCGTTCAACTGCTCAGGAGTGGATACCAAGGTAATACCTTGATGAATGCTGGAATAATTTACAGAATGGTTTCTTCAACTTGTGTTAATTTTATTGTTTTTAAAGATCTTTTTGTCCTTTGAGTGGAATATAATTGTTGTGGTAGCTGAATAGATAGTGCAGATTAGCAGATGTGTTGTGTTTGGTGAAATTGAAGGTAATAGATTTACATGTTTAAATACTGGGTTCAGTGGGAATCAATTAGAGTATATGTCTGCTAAGATTGTGTTTCTTATTATATTATTATTTTTTGGAATGAAACTCCCACTTGTTGGTTGTCCCAATGTTTCTTTTGGCTTGATTTTTATGTTATCTAACTAGAATCTGCTCCTATTTGAATTCTTGTAACTCAGTATCTTTTCTGGGAATGGTTTGCTATCTGAGTTTGAAGCTTTTAATTTTTCCAGATTTTTGTTTTCTAGATTACTTTTAGACTTGATTTTCTGAGCTTGAAGCATTGTTTTGTGGTCTATCTGTTAGCAGGGGCTTAATTCTTGAGACATGGTGGTGTGAATTGACTCTTTAGTAGAGATGGAGGCTCATGTACATCTGAAGAGCAGGTTTCTATTGGTAATTTGTTGTTTATCGGTGCCTTTGGCAGTTTTAGGAGGCCAGAATGGAACTGCTCCTTCCAGACCGAGGGTCGTGAATATTGGAGCTTTGTTCGTGATGAACTCAGTTATTGGACGGTCTGCTAGGCCAGCCATTAAAGCTGCTGTGGATGATGTGAATTCTGATTCGAGCATTCTTAGTGGCACCACGTTGAACCTCATAGTTCAAGATACAAATTGCAGCGGATTCATTGGCACTGTTGATGGTAATAGGCTAATTAGCTAATACCTTTATCTTGTTTTCTTTCTGGTTGTTCACCTCTTATAACGAGTCTAAACGTTTTGATGCCATGATGGACTTTGTAGCTTTGCAGCTGATGGAAAGAGATGTAGTGGGTGCAATTGGTCCACAATCCTCTGGAATAGCACACGTAATTTCTCACATTGTGAATGAACTTCATGTCCCGCTTTTGTCATTTGGGGCAACAGACCCGACTCTTGCTTCTCTGCAGTACCCATACTTTGTTCGAACAGTCACGGATGATTACCACCAGATGCGAGCTGTTGCTGATCTTGTCGAGTATTTTGGATGGAAGGAGGTGATTGCTATCTACGTTGATGACGATAATGGTAGAAATGGGATTTCAGCATTGGGCGATGCTCTTTCCAGGAAGCGTGCCAAGATATCTTACAAAGCAGCCTTTTCTCCCGTGGCCTCGAGGAATGAGATGTATAACGTGTTAGTGAATGTGAATCTGATGGAATCTCGAGTGTATGTAGTGCATGTAAATCCTGATTCTGGGCTGTCGCTTTTTTCAGTAGCAAAGAGTCTTGGTATGATGTCGAGTGGGTATGTTTGGATTGCTACAGATTGGCTTCCTTCTGTTCTAGACTCTTCGGAGTCAGTTGATCCCGACACCATAAATGTGTTACAAGGGGTTATTGCACTCCGCCACCACACCCCAGACACCGATCAGAAGAAAAAGTTTGCTTCTCGCTGGAGAAATCTTAAGGAGAAAGAAACCTCGAGCTTTAACTCATATGCACTCTATGCTTATGATTCGGTGTGGTTACTTGCACATGCTCTCGATCGTTTTTTCAATGAAGGTGGAAATGTTACGTTTTCTGATGACCCGAGGTTGCAGGATACCAAAGGCAGTTCCCTGCATTTGTCATCTCTCCGTATTTTCGACCAGGGCCAGAAATTACTCGAGATACTTACTAGTGTTAACTTCACTGGTTTAACCGGACAAGTTGAGTTCGATGCAGATAGGGATCTGATTCATCCCGCATTTGATATCCTCAACATTGCTGGAACTGGATCACGGTTGCTAGGTTATTGGTCAAATTACTCTGGGCTATCTCAAGTTACTCCCGAGATTTTGTATGCAATGCCTCCAAACTCTTCAACCAGTAGCCAACATCTAAACGGCGTTATATGGCCTGGTGAAGTTACACAGCAACCCCGGGGATGGGTATTCCCCAATAATGGAAAGCCTTTGCGTATTGCAGTCCCCAACCGTGTTACTTATCCTGTGTTTGTTAGTAAAGAAAAAGGACCTTCTGGGGTGAGAGGATACTGTATCGACATATTCGAAGCTGCTGTACAGCTCTTACCTTACCCCGTTCCTCACGTCTATGAATTGTATGGAGATGGCAAACGAAACCCCTCGTTCAACAGCATTGTCGAAGATGTTGCAAAACAAGTAAGTACTACTAATTGATTTGCTAAGTATTCTTCTGAGTAAACGAGGTTAACCATTTTCTTGTTTCTATTGCATTTCGTTTTGGCACTCTTAGAAATATGATGCAGCTGTTGGGGATGTTACGATTACCATGAACCGGACAAGAATGGTGGACTTTACTCAGCCTTATATCGAATCGGGACTAGTGGTAGTTGTGCCTGTCAAAGAGGGTAAATCCAATCCGTGGGCTTTTCTCCAACCATTTTCACTGCAAATGTGGTGTGTCACTGGGGCTTTCTTTCTCTTTGTTGGCACTGTTGTTTGGATTCTTGAACATCGGCTTAATCAGGAGTTTCGTGGCTCACCACGACAACAACTTGTCACTGTCTTCTGGTTAGATTCATGAATAATACATATCTCGATCATAGATTGTTTTGAATCCCCTTTAGTGTTCATAACTTCAGGTGGTTTATTCTTGCAGGTTTAGTTTCTCGACAATGTTCTTTGCACACAGTAAGTTCTTTCCATTCAAATTATCGCGTGTTTTGTAATGATCAGTTATGATACTAATCTGTTTTTAAATTCGGTAGGGGAGAACACTGTGAGCACGTTAGGACGATTGGTGCTGATTCTGTGGCTCTTTGTGGTTTTGATTATAAACTCGAGTTACACAGCTAGCTTGACTTCAATCCTCACAGTCCAGCAGCTATCCACAGGCATTCAAGGGATTGACAGCTTGATCTCGAGCTCTGATCCTATAGGAATCCAAGATGGGTCGTTTGCGTATAACTATCTCATTGAAGAGATGAATGTGGCAGAATCCCGCCTTCGGATCTTGAAAAAGCCAGATGACTATATCGATGCTCTAAAGAAAGGTCCGAAAGGCGGTGGAGTTGCAGCAATCGTCGATGAGCTTCCATACATCGAGGTTTTCCTGTCCAACACGAAATGCGATTTCAGGATTGTTGGCCAGGAGTTCACAAAGAGTGGATGGGGGTTTGTAAGTACTTTAACTTCACCTAGCATCATAATTGGCTTACATTGCCAAGTCCAGCACCCTGCCTTTTAAAAATGTGACAGTTCCTGCTATATGCAGAAGCTATCTGATACCAAATTGAAACATGTGATAGTTGGATTGCACTTATATGCTCAACGGTGATAAACTCTTACTCCTCTCTTTGGTGGGCAGGCATTTCAAAGGGACTCCCCGCTGGCGGTTGATATGTCAACTGCAATCCTTCAACTGTCAGAAAACGGCGACCACCAAAGAATCCATGACAAATGGCTGTCTAAAGAAGGCTGCTCACCAGAGACCGAGGTGGACGATAGCAGGCTTTCCCTGAAGAGCTTCTGGGGGCTGTTCCTCATCTGTGGGGTCGCCTGTTTCCTCGCGCTCCTCGTGTTCTTCTGCAGGGTGTGCTTGCAGTACCGTCGTTACACCCCTGAGCAAGAGATGGATCAGGTCGCCAATGAACCCGAAACTACCCAGTGTAGCGGTGGCACCCTTCGTGCTCCCAGCTTCAAAGACCTGATAGATTTTGTTGACAAGAAGGAAGCTGAGATCAAGCAAATGCTGAAGAGGAAAACCAGTGGCAACAAGAGACAACTCGATCAAAGTGAAGATGGCCACCCTAGTTCGCCGGTATAAACAACATCTGATCTTTTTGGTCTTGTTATGTAAATGGTACGTTCATACATTTTATTGTGACACCAGAGATTTTAGGCACAGAACAGCAGAATTATGTCTTGAAGAAGGCAAAGATGGATGGAATATCACTTCTAGATTTGACATTACTTGTTTAATAAAGTGATATTTGCATCAAAAGGTTGCATTAATGTACCCAAAGACCTTGGTTCAAGTGAAGGGGAGGGGAAGCCTGGCCTATGAGGTCCAGAAAATTTTGAGGTTATGGACGCTATTAATCTTTAATTAGATTCTTGTTGTCAAAACCATGAATATAAAATACTACAATTTTTTTTTTTGAATATTAAATACTATTGGAATAAGAATTAAATACGCCATCCTACTGCAATTGGGTCATCAAACTCAAAAAAATTACAATTACCGAACAAGGCAAAATAAGCAATTCAACCCAAAATAACATGTTGACCTTGTAATATGCTGACGTAGCCGTTACCGAATTTAAAATATTTTTTTAAAATTTATTTAATAAATTTAAATTAAATAATTGTTTTTTTTTTAAAAAATCTCGCCTTCTTTGTTGAGAAAGCAACCCTGTTACATGTAGTATCTGTTATATATATATATATATATATATATATATATTACAAAAATCATTAAAATTCTTGATACAAATTATTTCAACTCACCATGGGTCCTTGCATTGAAAAGGAGGTCGCAATGTCGCATTGTCCTTTACAACTTCTAAGGTTGAACCTTGCCACGATTGCAATCTTATCCAATCATGTCTCCATGATTTTGACACTTCGACCTTGGCTGAAAGCTCATTCACATATATTGTAAAAGTATGGGCAAATTGCAAATTTTTTGTCCCCCGAAATAACAACAAATTCAGTTCTTTTCATTAAACAGATTTATCAAAATTATAGTTGATCGGATTTAACAATAAAAAAGCACAACCACTAACATTAGAGAAACCAGAGCTGAACTTCAATTATCAGTAGTATTCAAAAACTATGCTACTATGGTAGCTTAGTTGGTTTATCGGGAACAAATTATAGATAAAAATGTTGGATTAAGCTTTGATAGCTACACAATCGTGTCAGATCGGGGTTTGAGAGAACCCACATAATTGAACTTTGGCAACCACTCAATCTTGCCGCACAAAGGGTTGGGGTCTTGTGGCGAGAGATTTCGCCTTTTACAGATAAGTATTCAGAGATCTATCATATTTGGCTTTGAGAATAAAATAACATTCTCGGACATATTATGTTATTTGATAAGTCATTTTATTCATGAAAATACTATTTCCAAAAGTGACCTATTCCCATGAATGACCATGGTATTAGGATATTCTTAAATTCTTAACTTAATTTGGTAATACCTCATTTTTCTTTATTGATTTTTGTTATTTCTAAAAACATAATAAGTTTAAATCCAGATTATGTCACTGGTTTTATGTCCGTTTTTTCTGTTAACTTTTTTTGTACCTTATGCTATAAATGTTGTACTACATAATTATTTGGACAAAAATATCCTTGCCGTTATAACTTCTGTTATCTTTCACATTATTATTATCATACACTTGCATACACAATATCTTTTTCTTACATTCTTCAATTGGTAAGTTTGATTTTATTTAGATCTTAATTAAATGTTACCATAGTTATATTTAGTAATATATCATTTCTATAATTCTTACTTCATTATCTAAATCTAAAAACATAATAAGTTTCAATCCAGGTTATGTCCCTGGTTTTATGTCCGTTTTTTCTGTTAATTTTTTTTGTACCTTATGCTATAAATGTTGTACTACATAATTATTTGGACAAAAATATCCTTGCCGTTATAACTTCTGTTATCTTTCACATTATTATTATCATACACTTGCATACCCAATATATATATATTTTTTTACATTCTTCAATTGGTAAGTTTGATTTTATTTAGATCTTAATTAAATGTTACCATAGTTATATTTAGTAATATATCATTTCTATAATTCTTACTTCATTAATTTTAATATGAATTCTACAATTATATATATATACACACACACACACACACATTTATATAACTAAGATTTTAAAATTAAATATTAATATTGGACATATATTTTTGCGCATCGCGCATATGAAATACTAGTACTATACATATGTTTCTATAATAATAATAATAATAATAATAATAATAATAATAATAATAATAATAAAGAATACAATTATTTAACCCCCCCCCCCCACCCCCTACTTCTTCAATTTAATTGAGCTTAGCTTTTGGCTTTCAAAAAATTTAAATCTTTATTACATTCTTATTGTAAGAATCGGGAATCAAACCCTAGTGTATGAGTTGAAGGTTAGGACCACAACTTTACGAGCCACGAAGCCAAGAGTGTTGTTATGATCCAAAGGGTAATGTCTAAATGAAGACATCAAGCCCTTTATTGGTCATGCACATGTGTTCCCCACTACTTAAATACCAACAATCTTCAATAGATTGGTGCGTTGGAGCATGTCGATTTTGTGAGCAGGTTCTAGCCTGCGGGGCTTTGTTCCCCTTCCATTTGATTAAAAAGAAAAAAAAAAAAAAAACAATCTTTCATGAATAAGTAAAGCATAATGCTAACCCATAGGTCATAAGTTTAAATCTTGCTTGCTGCACCTTCTTAGCTTAACATTTTGTACATTTTTTTTGGGCCACCATGCTCCATTTCTTCTTAGCAATCAAAATGAATCATCATTAGGCTAAGACCAATTGTTATATTGTGGATGAGAGCTCACAGTGCACTGTGGATCCTGGTTCAATACACAGAATTCATATTCATAATGTACAGAATTCATGTTCATAATACATATACACATAAACACGATATAATGAATATAAATTCTGTGCATATGAAAATGAATTATGTGTATTATATAGCTGAGGACACATAAACACTTAACATAACACTCAGGATTCATGTTCATTATATCGTGTTTATGTGTGTATATTATGAACATAAATTATGTGCATTATCGATATAAATTTTGTGCATTATGAAGTCAAAATTCGTATATTGGACCAATGGACCAGGGTCCACGATATAATTTGCCGACTAAGACTTTTCCAGTAAAATGGGCCCCGCATAAACTATAATAATTTTCTAAATGTAATAAATAATGAAATTGAATTTCTATTATATTAGTTGCTTATTTTATTCCGGATGAATATAATTTTTATTTCCAAAAAGTGTAATAGTTTAAAATGGTAATAATCGGTTAAGGTTGGAGAATATTTATAGCATTTATTAATGAATAAAGAAAGATGTGAGTAAGAATAAAGTTAAAATTGGATGAGTAGAAAAAAAGTTGACTTGGAAATTGGCATGGGTCGAGAAAAGCGGTCAACCGCGTTGAATGCGAGGCCACTATAAGCTTGTGGAATGGCCGTTTTGGAAAAAAAAAGGGGAAGCAATAAATGACGATCAAAATAAATTCAAATATTCTCTACAAAAGATGAGAGAGATCCTGTCACCATTACTACTTTCATGGCGAAGGCAAGAAGCTAGAGGTTGAGGAGGCCGTAACTAATTTCTACCTTTTTTTTTCTTCTTCTTCTTCTTCTTGTTCTGTATCCGTAAAGCCACGTATATATAGCATAAAGATAAAGATGTGTGAGTAGGTACCACCAACTTTGTTGTTGTGTTGTTATTGATGTTGTTGTTGTTGTTGTTGGCATAAAGAACAAAAAGATTGATTGAAGAAGACGACCGCCGCCGCCGACGACGATGGCTCATCTCAGCGTGAAGAGAAAACTTCTGTTGAGGACCTCAATTCTGCAGAAATACCTCACTCGCCTCTGGCGACAAATCCTTGCTCGCCGGGTTCACAAGTCCGCCAAGTACCGCCAGTTGCCCCGCACCACATCCGCCGCCTCCGCCGTGATACCCCCTGCGGTCTCCCTGCCGCGCGACGCCGCCGTCGAATGCAGCTTCTCCGCCTCCGCCTCCGACCCGCCCCGCTTCGATCTCGACAAGGACGCCTCCGATTTGGTCGCCTTGAAGATTAGCCTCTTGGGCGATAACCAAATTGGCAAGACCAGTTTTCTGGTTAGCATTATTCCATTCTCAATTTCATCATTACCAGTTTTTTCTTAATAAATGCTTGATTTGATTCTGTTATGAATGGAATGGAAGACCAAGTACGTAGGGAAAGAGAAAGGGAAGGCAGGGATTTCAAGAAATGGATTGAATCAGATGGATAAGACAATTAATGTCAAAGGGGCTCAGATATCTTACAACATCTGGGAAGTAGAAGGTAATGGTAATGGTAATGGAGCCACATATTTCCATTTCTGAGAATATATGATTCAATCTTTCACTAAAAAGTATGATAATGCAGGCACAGATTTTTCATCTCAGTACCATATTCGTGCTGCTTGTAAAGACTCTGTTGCCATGTTGTTCATGTTTGATCTCACTAGTAGGTGCACCCTCAATAGGTATGGACCCAGATCCTTCATATAATATATATAAACACAAATGTACAGTCCAACTATTAAATTAAGATTTTAGTTGAGACAGAACATGTTCTTCTATTTGGTATCAGAGCCTATATTTGTGAGGGAGTTTATAATATATAAACATAAATATGCAGTCCAACTATTAGTTGAGATTATCATCTTATGAATTTGCAAATTGTTCCTTCATGTATACAGTATTTTAGGGTGGTTCCAACAAGCCAGAAGATGGAATCAGGTATGGTATTGCTCCTAAATGTTAGAATGGTGGATTCTTGAAGGTACAACATTCATCTGACTGCAGAATGTTTGTGTTAATTTCAGGCAGCAATTCCTGTGATGATTGGGACAAAGTTTGATGATTTCGTCGAACTGCCTTTAGATTTGCAGTGGACAATTGCTAGTGAGGTGGTGATCTGGTTCTATTTTGTTTACATTTCTGGTAAAAAGAATGAAATTTGGGGTAATATTGACATGTATCTGTGACTGGAAAACAGGCAAGAGCATATGCAAAGGCACTGAATGCTACCTTGTTCTTCTCTAGTGCAACCTACAACATCAATGTGAATAAGATCTTCAAGTTTGTCACAGCGAAGCTCTTCAACTTGCCATGGAAAGTGGAGAGGAATCTGACGGTGGGAGAACCCATGATTGATTACTAGGCCTCATCTCCACCATCCCATTTGGTGTCATTGTAGATAAACACGCCATTTATTTCCCTGCAGAATAATTTACACTGTCAACCAGTCGCTAGATTAGTCAGTGAGACCAGTAAATGTAGCATGTCCAGCGATTCGGGTTGTTTTCATTTCGTTTTTTTTCACGATGGAGTTTCTTTCAGGTTAGGGGCAATAGTCTTGAACTCCATGCTTTCATTCTTCTTTCTTTGGTAAGGAAAACAAAAAAAAAAAGCCGGCCTCTTTGCTTTGTGGTCCTCTAAAATTGTCTGTAAATCGCCATAAGTTTCTTGTTTATTTCCTTCTCTGAAAAGAAATTGCAGAGCTTAGTCTTTTTTTGTTTTGCCATGGCATGATAAACCACAAATGAAATTAATTCAACACTTGATCTGAGAGATAGATTTGGTCATGATGTTCTGTAAGGGCAAAGATGATGTTCAATGCATGCTCATATAGAAAACCTTAATGAATGAAACAAATGGAGGATTGATTACATGGTCTATGACAGTGAGAAAGGCAAAATCTCACATGAAACTATGGTTTTGAGAGGTATTGGTGAAGAGGAGGCATTTCTTTCCTTAGATTTAAAGAAAAACTTGTAACCATGACAAACATTTGATCTTCACCATATATGAAGCATTTCTTTTTTTTAGATTTAAAGAAAAACTCGTACACCATGATAGACATTTGATCTTCGCCATACATGTAGAGCTGTCAAAACGGACTTAACTTGCCTTGCCAATAGGACAAAATGCGCTTTGAGATTTTATGCCCGTTTTATTAACATGTTTTTTAGCCCACCCCACCTAACCTATGGGCTTGGCGGACTAGCGGGGCCAGTCAAAGTATTTAATTAAAAAAATTATTAAAAAAAATAAATGTTACAAATTTACAAAACAAAAATCTTAAGATAACCCGCCAATTTCCTTATATTTAGTCATTTAGACTACTCTTGTTTAAATTTTAGAGTTTAGACTATCTACAATGATTTTAGCATTTACATTTTTTTTATATAAATTATAAATTTACAAAAATTACAAAAATAATATTTTGAAGAGCCCTCGCGGAACTAAGGCGTGGTGGGGCTTGCTGACTTCCCTTAGACTCGTATTATTGATGGGCTTTAATTTTTAGCTCACCTCGCCATAAAGCAGGCTTTGGTGAGCTCTGTCCCGCCAACCCGATTTGACAGCTCTACATATATGTCATCATATTTTTGAATTATGAAAAAGTTATAAAGTTCAAAATTTGATCCATTATAATTACATTAAAAAAATGTTACTAGGTAGTAATGGCCGGACCATGACATACAAGAAAAATTGTATGTATGTTAAATAGAAAGTTTCAAAGACTATTCATAGAAGTAAGGTATAACATAGTATTAGATTTATAAAATTAAGTAATGATATAGTATTACAAATTTTATTTTATATATTTTAGGCATAAGTTTTAATTTATATTAAGGAAATAAATTAGGAATATGTCATTTTTATATATTACGGAGTAGTAAAAGTCTTAATTTTATTTATTTCAATATTAGAAAGTATGTAAGTTTGTGGGTGCGTATGTGATGACCATGTGTATTGTGAAAGCTAGTTTAATTTCTTTAATCTAAAAGCTCAAAATTTAAAATATATGCATTAAAATTTAAAGATCAAAGCTTCAATCATACTTTTCCAAAAGTATATATAGCGAAGAAGGCGAAGCATGTATTAAGAATTTGTAACTTTTTTACTTTAAAGCTTTTACTAATATCTATTTAAACTATTTAGACTGTAACTTTGTACAATTATTAACGTTTTGAATTAATTTTTAAAGAATTTGACAAGCCAGCCCGTCATGGTTTGAATGCCTTGGTGCAGTCGTTATACCCTACACCATGGCGCACTGTGCGCCGCGCACCTCCCAAAACGACGTTGTTTTGGGGTCGTTTTGGGAGACGCGGTAGGAAGTTGCTGGGATTATGTGTATTTGTTCACATAATTATGTGTATTTGTTCATACAATTATGTGTATTTGTTCATACAGTTATGTACATTTTTTATACAATTATGTACATTCTTTTTATACAATTATGTACATCCAAATCAGAAAATTTGTGTGTATTATGTTAAGAGTTGATGTATATTATGTTAAAAATTTATGTTTATTATGTATTATGTTAGATTATGTGTATTATCTTTTAAAAAGAATATGCATATTTTGTTATATAATTATGTACATTCATGTATACAATTATGTGTATTCTAGTATAACATTATGTACATTTTTGAACAATGGGTTTTTTTTAAAGAAAAAATTTACTGCCATTCACTGGGGCGGGAAATTTCAAAAAAAAAAAATAAATTAAAACGACGTCGTTTTGCATCCGGGTGCACAGTGCAACACGCGCCGTGGTGTAGGATATAAATTGCCGCCTTGGTGGCTGTGGTGAGCCCCAACCACTAGCTCGTTGCAAATTATTCTATGGACTGGGCCTACCTTGCAAGGTGGACTCAAGTCTAAAAATACACAATTTATATACTGAATATTCACAATTTACATATTAAATATTTTTAATTTACATTCAGTATCTAAAGAGTAGTTATGCTGTGCATCCGTATGCACCATGCATGGTGCATACGGATGCAAAAACGACGTCGTTTTATTAAAAACGCGCGTCTCCCCTTTAAAAAAAAATTCAGGTTCGATTCCCAGCAACAACATTATGTTGTTCATTCATTCTGGAATTTTAGTTCATAGATTATGGAATTTTAGTTCATTGATTCTGAAATTATAGTTCATCGATTCTAGAATTGTAGTTCATCGATTCTGAAATTTTAGTTCATAGATATGGAATTTTAGTTCATTCATTCTGAAATTTTTAGTTCATAGATTAGATTCTGGAATTTTAGTTCATCGATTCTGGAATTATAGTTTATATGTTGTTGTTGGGAATCGAACATGATTTTTTTTTTAGGAGAGACGCGCGTTTTTAATAAAACGACGTCGTTTTTGCATCCGTATGCATGGTGCATACGGATGCACAACGTAATTTGCCGTATTTAAATTGTGAATATTTTTACATTCAATATGTAATTATGAACATTCAGTATGTAAATTGTGTATTTTGGATCCGGGTCCACCTTACAAGGTAGACCCGGATCCATGGTATAACTGTTGCACCACAACTAGCTAGTGGGATTTACACCCTTCAAGTCACTCTTTAATTCGTAGGAGGTTTCAATTCCGTTTAACTGTTAGACCAAAAAAAAATCAGTTAATTGAATTTGGTTATTATAACTCAATCTATTTTGATCAGTTTCTTAATTTAAAATTTGTATTATATATGATCCAAGAATTTGGAATATAGTACATGTAGATGAATAATATACCTTCAAACTTTTTAATTCTTTTTTTTTTTTTCTTTTCGGTGACGAGGGAATTGAAATTTGCATGTAGTCACTATCCTGAGAATGTGTATTGTGTAAACTCCGCTCATGTATAATTGTTCACAAATCAATATAATAAATTTCTTAATTCTTTGTATTAGAATTAATGACCTGTTCTTCATTGAAGCACACCTAAACTGGTCTAATCAATAAATTACATATATTCTAAAAGGCTTTTTTTAGTCTAGCTGACTACTTCCTAATTTGTTGTTTGTTTCACTTTTACCACACAATGCACATGCCCAAGTGGCAGCCAACTGAAATATCATATCCATTGAATGTACAAATTACAAATTGGAAGGTAATTAGCCCTTAAATTAAAGAAACCACTATGTATTTGATATATAAAATATTAAATTTGACCTCAGAGTTTGATAAGTTATGCTATAATATTTATAGTATCCTACATTCCTATATATAAAAAAATTTACCTGACCGTAAAATGGCTCTCAAACCACACATGAAAAGTAAATTGTATTAGAAATTAAAGATCTCGCTGAACCAAAATGATGTTAATAAGAATCAAATTTGTAAACTTTAGGTACAAAAATTATACTTCGCATACTTGACCACTCGACTGGACACTACGTTGCATCTTTACTATTAAGTGAAGAAGATCATTGAATTCGCTCAAAAACCATAACAAGTTTGGACAAGAGAGAATTGCATGTGAAGGGGAATAAGAAGAATATAAGATTGGAATGTGTAACATGCATGCATGCATGCCGAAGGGTTTGGAGATTGGAATATATATATATATAGTTCATGCATGCACTGTCTCAATTCAACCAATTTATAGTCCAAAGCCTTTGCCGGCCAAAATCTAAATATTCTAAAATTTCACTGTTATAATCGTGGAGGCACAGTCAATTCCGGCATTTTTATTCTTTCCGTCTTATACATTTGCATGCGGTCTTACTGTCTACCTAATTTCTACATCTTATTCCCCATAAATCACCAATAATTTTTATTTCAATATTGCTCAATCTTATCTAAATATCTTACAGTTTATCAACATGTGACTTATTAAGGATATTAGTTAAACGGTTAAATATGTTGATCAGACTAGATTATATGGCGAGAATGTTGGCAAGAATCAAATATATGATGTTCATTTCCACCCATTCGACAACTTCTTTGAGTCTTTCTAAGTAAAATTTGAACTTTTTTTTAATACTTAGGTGATCCCAATTTTTTCAGACTAATCTTAAGTTCATAGGGCCTCGCCTCTAGAAGCTAGAGCTACTGCAAAAGTAAATCACAAGTCGCACAATTAGTACGTCCACCAGTTAAACTCTAGACTTTATGCGTGCAAAAAGAATCCAGCCCACAACTTACATCATTTTGAACCCCCAAACTGACACATCTAATCGTGACATCAAGCCAAGAGATGAATAACTATGCTAAACCTCATGGGTAAAATATGAACTTTTAATATTATAATTACGTGACTTCTTTCTTGCCTAGTTAGTGGATTGACACAACTATCATTTGTGTAAGCCACCTTATCTAAATATTCAAAACAGTTGCGGGTAATGTTCATTACAAATGTTGGGCATATTCGATATGATCTTCAAATGTTGCTTGAATTAATAATTACTCACATATAGGTTCCAAAATAATATCATCACATCACTGATATTGAGTTAGACCATTTTTGACACATCATATCCATAGAGTGTGCCACCCCCTCGTAGCCCTGCCTGCATGCCAACTAAGATTTCACATCACATGTTACTTTTTCAAAGAATTGCACCATAATCTCGAGAGCTCTCACTCATCTTTATATAAAAATCAAGATACTTGTAAATTAGAACCTACGAAAATATCAATTTAATACATTTGGTCTCTAAAGGTAAGAAATTAAATAAATCATGCACTTTCTGACGGTTAGTAAAGTAAAATTGTATATATATGTTTGATTAAATTATGCCCGGAACCCCATATTCCTCAACTATGTACCTTTTAGCCGGCGAAATAAAATTATTAACTCTTATCTTTTTAGTATGATCAATCAATTAAACTGTATTGTGTCAGGGCGGAACCACATATTCCATCCTCTCCCTTTGTTCATATTTCCATTGATTTGCCTACTTCCTTTCAAGTTTCTCCATTATATATAACCATACCCTACACTCAAACACTGCCTCAAACCCCAAACCAACAACCTCGATCAATTCAACACTAGCTAGAACATACACTACATACGATAATGAATTCTTCCACGAAAAGTTTCGGTGGCCATAAACAAAAAACAGATGATATTAGTAGGGCTGAGGAGAGTGGGTGGACTTCTTATCTGCAGGACTTTTCATTGAATAGTAGCAGTGATAACTATGGCGGCTCGGCGTATTCTAATTACCGTGGAGATTACAGCCGTTTTGGCGGCCCTTCTTTGCACTCCGACGCTGCCTCTCCTGCTGCATGGAAGGAGCGCCGCGGCGGCGCCGATGGTCACGACGGCGGAGACGGCAACAATGTTGCATGCTCTTCAATGGGCGGCTTTCAGAGACTGAAGAACTTGAAGATAGAAATCAAAAAAGAAGAAGTCTGACCCTGACTTGGAGGATACTGCTAGCTCACCTCTCAATAGTCCAAAGGTCACACCACTTATCTTTTCTTCCCTATCCTTTCTTCTTAGGCTTGGTAGGTCAGAATAATTGAATAACGTGTTCGATCTGTCTCGACTAAAAGATTAAAAGACTGGGGCCCTATTTAGTAAATAGGTAGTATATCAGTCAATTTTCACTTATTTGATCACTATTAACTGTTTTGACCGGGTTAAACAATCTTAGCTATATATTTTTAACAACTTATTGCTTCAAAATACTAAAATTCAAAAATCTGTTCAAAATAGTTTTTTCAATCAGCTTTTTGATAAAGTCATTTTGTATGTAATCAGCTAACAGTTAACAGCTAATTTATCAAAACAGTTTTCTAAAATCAGCTAATGCTATCAAATAGTCAAATACACTAACTCAATTAGATAACCTCCATTTACCAAACACCTCCTATGTATGTGTTTCTGTTCCTATGTACCAAACAATCTTAAATTCTTCAGAAAAACATGGAACTAAAATGTTCTTTGATAACCGTCGACAGGTTGGTGTTCTCAAGCCGGCGGAAATCAACCAGAAGAAAATTAAAGAAAGTAATATTGGGAATTACAGCAATTACCGGTAATTAATTATTTAATTTCCATTGTTGAGAGATCAGATTATTATTATTATTTATTAGGTGTATTTTCTCTTAACATTGTTGTTCTATGGTGTAGGTAAATTGAAAGTGCATGCTGGGTTTTGAATGTTTTCAAGACTTTGCAGAGTGATGATGAAGCATTCATCATATGCAACTGGATGAATGTGAAGGATTTACTTTTAATTAAACCGTAATTACATGTAATTGTTTAATTAGATGCTCATCGTTATGTAATTCAATTTCAGCATATACTATACATGTATTGCTTATTACAATAATTGGTCAATAAATATTTTCAATATAATATAATTATATTGCGCTTCGGGCCTCAAGATCTTATGTGTTTTTATCATTCACCTCACCTCCCAAAAAAGAAAAAGAAAATAATATTAAAAAAATTAGGGACAAATCCAAGCCAAGTTAGTCGTACTGTTTACTTTATAACTATAATGTTTCAAATTTAATTCTCACAAGAATGATCTTTTGACGTTTTTTATTTGAGCTGATCTATTTTTAAATTTATATATTTCAATGTGTGGTAAGCTTTCCATAAAAAGTTTATCCATATGGATGCTTCCGTAAATGTCAAATCTTGAAATCGGTTTGATCTGATGAATTATTTGATATGAAATTAGAGAGGACTGCAGGCTGTACCATTTTTAGTGACCAGACCATGACAGACATATCAAAAAGCCACCACAAAATCATTTTCATGTTTTTTTCTTTCTTTTGAGAAAATGTAATAATTAAATTCCATGTCATCCTAAATGAAAGTGTCTACAATTCCACAGGTCCATCCAACATATATTGTCATTTCAGCTGGAATAATAATGAATGGATTAATTAAGTTTGTTAACAAGTCACAATTAGCAAGAACTTAATTAAGTTATTAATAGGGGCTTAAAAATAGCATTTTTATAATTTAATTTATTTATTAAACATGAATGGGAAGGGTACGCCTCATTTTTTTTGTTAAATCATGAGGTGTCCTAAGCAGACCCTAAGGGGTAGAGTGCTGGTCAGATTGATTTTTTCATATGAGAGGAGGTTTGAACTCCCGACCTCTCTTAATGTATAAGAGTGCACGGCAGCTCACGCCAACCAAACTAGTTAAGGGTTCACCTCATTAACATAGATTAGTATTAATTAGGAGAGAAAATTACACTTTTGGTCCTATGACTATAGGGGAGGTGGTAATTTCAGTTCGTGACTTTTAAAACTAACAGATTTAGTCCTTTTAGTATGCTTTTTTTAGCAGATTTGGTCCTTCCGGCCAAATCACAGGCCAAAAGTCACCGGAAAAATGTAAATCATTTTTTATTATTTAACTATGAGGACAAATTGGTCATTTCCAAGTCATTTCTTCTTCTTTCTCTTCCTCTTCGGCTGGCCTTCGAAAATCCCGGTGTAAAAGCGTCACATTTAGTCTAAGAAAAAAGGGGGAAAAACGGCTTCCCATTTCCCACCTTAATTAAACATTCACTCAAGAAGAGAAGCTCACCATCATATCATCTCATCTGCTCCCACTAAACAAAGTATCTTAGCTTCATTCAATGGAGGGCCCTGCAACCTATGCAGTAGCATGGCTATCCACCATTGCACTTATCCTCCTTGCCAAACATCTCCGCCGGAGAAAGCTTCATCTACCCCCGGGTCCTAAGCCATGGCCCATCATCGGAAACTTGAACCTCATCGGCACCCTCCCTCACCGTTCCATCCATGATTTGTCGCAGAAATACGGCCCCATCATGCAGCTGCAGTTTGGATCCTTCCCGGTGGTCGTCGGATCGTCTGTTGAAATGGCCAAGACTTTCCTCAAAACCATGGACATCAACTTCGTTGGCAGGTTAGAATTTATACCCGATAATTTCCTGGAAAAATGACACATATTCTGACCAATCTGTTCATTTGTAATCTGTTCCCGATACTTGAGCGCCGACTAGCAGTCGTAGTGGTACACGAGGACGGCGCTCATCCACACCCGGACGTCTTTGATCTTGCCGCTCGTCAGGGCACCGCCCACAGATTCCATACGACGCTCCACGTACCCGTAGAGCTCAAGACACGTCTTCGTCGCGTCGGATCGGTTCTTGTTGCCGGAGGACTCAGCCAGGATGCTCTTCACCATGGACTCCGCCTGCTTCAGGTTCTCGAAAGAGACCCGCATATCTAATGGGCCCAATCATCATATCTGTGATTTGTTAATTTGGGTTGGCAGTTCATGGCGTTCAGAGCTCACGAATACCCCACGACACCGGAATTTTCGAAGGCCAGCCGAAGAGGAAGAGAAAGAAGAAGAAATGACTTGGAAATGACCAATTTGTCCTCATAGTTAAATAATAAAAAATGATTTACATTTTTCCGGTGACTTTTGGCCTGTGATTTGGCCGGAAGGACCAAATCTGCTAAAAAAAGCATACTAAAAAGACTAAATCTGTTAGTTTTAAAAGTCACGAACTGAAATTATCACCTCCCCTATAGTCATAGGACCAAAAGTGTAATTTTCTCTGCATTAGGATCATCCAATTGATGGGTTACCATTTGATCTATGTTAACTAATTATTGATAAGTATAACTATCTTAATTATTTACTTAGATGGGTTTAATAATTATTTGGTACCATTATTTAGCCTAATATCTTATTTGTTTTTGGGTAAATTAATATCCTTTGTGTTTGTGTTAACTGTTAAATAAATAAATAATTAGTAACGTATTGAATTGTTAAGTTAAATGAATTTCAAAACATTGGTCAAAGCATGTATATTATTATTATATATTATATTATATGTTTGGTCATTTATATTAACTAAGTTTCTTGTTTCTTTCCTGCAAGAGCAGGAAGGAAGTTGAGCATGCATCCTCCCATATGCTTTGTCGGGTCGGAATGTTGGGGGGTGTAAAAGGTGGCAAATTATATCATGCACGCGGTGCATAATCGATTATGCACCGCTCATCAAAACGACGTCGTTTTATTTAATGAAAAGAAACGGCATCCGTTTCGCGCCGTTCTGCAAAAAGTAACTCTGATATGTTATTCAGTTTCATTTTGTATACACTGCAGTTTCAGTTCAACACAACTACAGTTTCAGTTCAACACAACTACATTTTCATTTCAATATAATTATAGTTTCATTCGATATTTATCGACTCAAATATGTGAAAATGTTATTTAATTTTATTTTATATACACTATAGTTTTATTAAAACACAACTACATTATCATTTTGATATAATTACAGCTTCATTGTACAATATATACTCAAATATGTGAAATGTTATTTAGTTTCATTTTATATACACCGCATTTTCATTTCACCACAACTACAGTATCATTTTGATATAACTGCAATTTCATTTGATAATAATATAAAAATAATACGTGAGGCAGGGTCGGTTTAGATACACTGTAGTGTCAGTTGATAATTAACATACAAAAAACCCGCGTTCCGTTAACACTAACGGTGCGCCGAAGTATTGTGTACAAGGAGCCCCCTCACGACTCGATCTCTGATCATTCTTTTCAAACTTCACTGCTGTGACCAAGTGAGCTGTCCATGCGGGTGTCTAAATTACTTTCATGTCATAGGCTTTTCACCAAACAAAAATGAAAAATTGTAGGTGTTAAGTGAAGCTAGGTGGGCTAGGTGAATTCAGGGTCTGTTTACTAACAGAAAACTGTTCTAAGTTTTCTGTTTTCTAATTTTTTCAGTTTTCATTCTCTGTTTTCTGTTTAGAAAACTTGTTTACTAATAGAAAACTGTTTTCTGTTTTCTAATTTTTCAGTTTTCATCTAAAATTTAGTTTAGATAATATTAATATTTTTTGAGCTAATATTTAAAATATTTTTTTGGATATATTCATTTGAATGACATGAATATGAATATATAACTTTTACTTTGAATTATAATATATGTGAGATTTCAATATTCGATATCTAGACCGAACTTGTATTATAATGTAACATAATTAAAAATATTCAAACTAATAATCTATTGAGTTCAATCAAAATCTAAAACATTATATAGAGTTTAATTCTTAATTTTGATAATGTAAATAATGTCTAACTTTAAAGTGTAAGCAAATAAATTATTTTTAAATAAGTAAAGTAAGTAGAAAAGATAAGAAGATAGTGATAAGTAAAATAAGATGATAATGAATGTAATCATAGTAATGTGGTTATAGTGACATATAACTAAATAGATGATAGATGATTCTGTTTTTTATTTCGAAAACAGTTTCAAGTGTGCTCCAGTTTTTCAGAAATTTTCAGAAATTATTTTCAGTTTTCAAAATAGAAAACTGTGTTAGTAAACATGTTTTCTGTTTTCTATTTTCTAATTTCTAAAAATTTCCATAAATTTTCAGTTAGTAAACGGCCCCATATATCTTTCTACAAGCATGCAATTTAAACATTCATCATATATAGTTGTTATGTAAGTATAATAAAATAAAATTACACATTTGTTATAAAAAAAAAAAATTTAACATAGTAATAAATGTTTGATTTTAACCATTAGTATCCGAGCATGTCATCATATATATGTTTCTAGGCATTCAATTGTAATAACAAATTATAATTTTAACGTAGTATATATACTATGCACAACTTAAATGTACCCAAATGAAAATTCAGAGTAGATCTGTAGATGGACCTAAAATTGTAATAACAAATTAATTGAAAATTAGACTTAATTGCCTCTACCAGGACTATGTGGTCCAATGGTACCCGGGTTGGACTTCCATTTGGAAGGTTGTAAGTTTGAGCCTCAGTGGAGGCGTAATTAGCTCTTTGTGTTTCAGTAGGTTGAGAAAGTATATGAACAGATACTACAATGTAATAGAGCTAGTAGCATTCAAGAAAAAAAGAAAAAGAAGACTTAATTGCCTCTATAATCATCCTCACAATTGGTTGGTCCATGGCATTATTAATTAGCAAATCGCTAATGATGTAATTAGGAACATGGCGTGTTTTATTAATTACAACCAAGTGGACCTTTGCTGCTTTACATACAATCAACTCATCCCATCCATCCCAATCCTAACTAGCTACCTCACCATATTAATTAACATGTAAGAGCAAACTCAACCGTTTGAGTTTCGTACACCAATTAGCTCTTTTTACCGTAAGATCAATCTATATAAAACGATATCATTAAAAATTCTCACCATCCTTTTTTTTTTTTTTTTTTTTTTTAATTTCGCTTTCCACTATCTAGTACAGTTTCACCATCTTAGCTTCCACGCACATACATACAATACAATCGATC